CCACTTTTCGGTTGTCTGTCCCTCAGGGAGGAGGTCACACACAGTTCCATGTAATCGGTTCCCTCTTTCCTACCCATTCTCCCTTTACCCTCCCTGTTTTGCCACTCACACCACTAGTCCTGTAGGGCTCATCCGTCCTGGATTCCCTGTATTCAGGGAACTGCTTCTTAAGGTTTTCGAAACCCTATCTCTTGGGCAGCAGAAAGCCCGAGGATTGGTTGGTGGCTTTCAGCCAAACACTTTCAACATAAGACTATTATTTAATATTGAATGTTATAACTAGAAGGAATCTGGGATCTTGCTCACCTTGACAATGGCTTTTCTTTATAAACATTGAGTCTGTATCAACATAACTCAATTAAAAATGCTAACAATTCATCTAAACGTAGGAATCCCTAGATGGTACTAACAATCCATCCACTTAGCTGCCAAGGAAAGGATTTAGGGTCATCTATAGCAGTGGTTCTCGACCTGTGTGTCTCGACCCCTTTGGGGGTCAAACGACCCTTTCACAGGAGTCACCCAACTCCTAAAAGTAGCAAAATTAAAGTTATGAATTAGCAACGAAAAAAATTTTATGGTTGGGGGGAGGGGAACCACAACATGAGGAACTGTATTAAAGGGTCGAAGCACTAGGAAGGTTGAGAACCACTGACCTAGAGGCTCCTCAGAAAGGCTTGATGATCAACTTTTAAAAAAATTCAGTCACCAGAAGCTTTATGGACAGCTCTACTCTGATATACGTGGGTGACTAATTTTTTCATACAAATGTGGATAAACAATATATAACTATTTCCCATGATTCTTTGAACAGTGCCTTGGATGTCTGTCCATTGATAGCCAATAATCAAAATATACATTACAGAGAAATTTAATCTCAATTTATTTGCAAGTTACAAACGTGTCTATCCTTGTCTAAATATTTTTTTTTTTTTAGGGAAAAGAAAGGCTTTATTTAGACAAAAAGATGCTAGTCATTTCTGTGTTTCTGGACATCAACCAAGAGTTGGTTCTGGTTAAAGGTAGCTTGTCTAAATTTTCCTCCAATACACTTTCTCACAAAAATTAGAATTTAAGATGCAATTTTCCTGTCATTTCCAGAATATTCCTGAAATCCTTCAAAAAGGAAGTTGATATATGCCCCACATAATAGAAATTGATTTTTAACTTTCGGGACTATGAACAGGAAATTAAAACAGATCTTAAATGTCTCCATTTTCTTACAAATAAATTCAATAAACTAGTTAGAATTATACACTTGTTCTGCATTTTACTCCTAAATGTAAATAGCTGGTAATGCTCATGAATAAAGAGGAACGGAAAATAAAACGCCAAAATGTTTAAGTGTCAACTATACATAACCATACCAAGCATTCATGTTTATTCAGGTTTTCTGTTGCTCTTATTTTGTTGATAAAATCAATAGTTGAAACTGATCTTTAAAACCCGGAATGTAAAACTTTTATGTCCACGAGTTTAAGGAAGCTTGGTTTTAACTGTGGGCAACACACATCTGATTTTTGGGCACAAACGCTTCTGCATCCAGTCGTTAGTTACTCAACAGCTATTGTTCACGGAAAACAAGACCAATAACAAGAAATTGTTAACCGTATCATCCACACACACATTAGCCATAGACGTTTGGCTTTGATCAACAAGGTCTACCATCTCATTCTCACCCCAGCCCTAGAGGGCTGGAGACGGGAATAATGGGTTCCTAAATGACAGCTGATTTCGTCCGCACCTGTCGCCATTCTCGGACGTGCCCACAAGTTGACCGGAGCGGTTCCGGATTTCCTCAGAGATTCTAACTCTTTAGAGAGGGGTTCCCTCGGTTTCCCCGACAGCCTCTCGGTGCCCCCCCACCTTTTCGGAGCCAACTCACGGCTCGGATTGGAGCGGGGGCGGGGGTGCACAAAGAAGCGGGAACTCCACGGACAAAACCCAGTGGGCGCGCAGCTCCGCCCCCCAAACTTCACAGCCGGCCCGGCGGCGACCGAGCCCCCCGCGCTGAGGGGCCCAGCTGTCCCGCGCACCCCAGAGACCCCCGGACCCCAAGCCTTTGTCTGCGCCGCGCGGCCGCCCCCCGCCAGCCCGTCCCAACGCCGCCCGCCCCACACAAAAGGATAGGTGTGCTCCCCTGGCGCCGGGCGCCGCGCGCCGGTCCGGCCCCAAGGCAGCCCAGGGAGGGGAACCGCACGTTTGCCGCCCCGTCAGCTACGGTCTCGGTCCCAGAGCGCCGCCCTCCGGGTCGCGGGCGCACGGCGGCGCGCGGGACCCCTCGCGCGCGCACAAAGCAGCACCCGCGAGCCCGTCGGAAGACTCCAGACACATCCGACCGGAGTGCTTCTCGGCCCGGGCCCGGCCCCGACGCGAGCCCTCCCGCGCTACCGAGTTACCTCAGTAGCGCCGCCGTCCCGCGCCGGCTCCCGCCGCCTCTGCGTGCCCGCCGGAGTCGGGCGCTCCCGGTCCGAGCGCCAAACGTACAGCCCAATCGTCGGCGCTCTTATTCGCGCCCGCCGTTAGGAAGCAACGATTCGATTGGCTGACGACGGGCCCCTGCCAGCCAATCACGGTGCGGCCGCTCGCGGAGGCGCCGGGAGAGACTCTGGGGCCCGCACGTTGGGCGGACTGGGTGCAGGGCGCATGCGTGGCCCGAGGACGGGGCCAAGGAAGAGCTTTAGCAGCTGCTGCTCGCTCTTTGTTCTCTCAGTGGACGCGCGGCGCCGCGGGACGGCGGCGGGCAAACAGGTCTCGAGGGCGGCAGGCTGCAGGGTCTGCGCGCGCCTCTCTCGGCGGGAACTTCGGGGCGGGGGAGGGACCGCGGCCTCATTTGAACCTGTTCGTGTCGGGGCGTAACGGTCCCGAGTGCTGGACACCGCTGCGGTCACTCACGTTTCCCGGGAAACGCCGTCGTCCCACCGGGGCTGGAGCCCCGAGCTCCTGTCAGCGCTACAGGTCGGCTGTTCTGGGGCGACGCCGCCGCCCCGCGGTGGTTAGACACGGTCTGAGGTAAACCCGGAGCACGTGGACGCGCCTGCGGGGTTCAGGATGCACTAGACAGGGCTCACCCCCAAAGAGACAGGACTCGGACCCACCAAGGCACTTTTAGTGAGGTGCCCCAGTGGGGGTGGGGGAGTCCATTCACATTCACACCCCGTAAGTTGAGCTGTTTAATAAGGACTAGAGAAATCATGGGGATTTTGTATCTCAGTGACTAGAGAATGCTTCATTTAGTGTGGTTTCATTCGTAATCTTCTCACTTTTGAGTGATGGGAAATGTATGCAGGCAGCTAAATACAAAAGGCATGTGCCGAAATAAAAGCACGCTTAGGAATCGATGTCGAGAGAGCCCAAAAATAAGGCCAATAAACAGGCTATACCATTTCAATGTATATAAAACGACATCATTTGTCATGTAATTAATGTTCACCAACACATTCATTTTCCATGGTAAAAGTGTCTCCATCCACCATGATCACGAAGGTGGTTTTCCAGGGCGAGGCTTATCCGTTGCACTCCGGATGTGCTGACCCCCGCGATTTCCCCAAATGTGGGAAACTAGACTGCATAATTGTGGTAGTGGGGGACTGCGTTCGCGCTCTCCCCTTTAAAAAAAAAAAAAGTGTCTCCATTTAGATCAAGAATTTGTCCTTGTCCTAATAAACGACTTTTTAGAGTTGCAGAAAATAAAGTTCCTTCCCTGTTTCACCCACACAGCCACACTGGATTTCTGGGATTGGAACTACCTAAGGGAGTGGAGAGCCAAGTTTTCCTCCTCAGAGGGCTTGTGGTCCAAACTGGGGCTCACAGTCCAACTGTAACCAAAGAACAAACCCCACTGCCATCAAGTCGTTTCCAACTCCTGTGCAATAAATCTTTGCCAAAGGTGTTGGGAAGTTCCAAGCACTGACCTTGAGGGTAGCAGCCCACCTAACCCACTACACCAGCCTGGCTCCTTATTTGACAGCTTAATCTATGGACATTTCCAAGACCAGCTCTTTATGGGAGCATACAGACTTCCCGAGAGGATTTCTCACCAGCTGTCATTTGAAGGTCAGCAAAAACAAACAAACAGTAAACACCAACAAAAAATGTAGTCCAACCTGAATTTTTAGCATAAGATTTTCTTTGTGCCAGCTATCTAGTTCTGTTGAGCTGTTTCATGGGGTTGGGATTTGACAAAATACAGTCATTATGTGGCCCCCATTCCAGTATTTTACAAAATAATAACTGAAAATCCCTTGTGTTCCACCAATTTATTTTTCCCTTCTCAAAACTCTTGATAACCACTAATCTTTCTGGACCTTAGAATTTTACCTTTTCCACATTGTCATGTACTTGAGGTTATACAGTACATGGTTTTTTAGATTAGTGTCTTTTACTTACCAGTATGCATCTTGAGTTGCTCCATGCATTCTCATAGCATACTTCATTCCTTTTCACCACTGCGTAATATTCTGTTGTTTGGGTGTACCACAGTTTCTTCATTCACCTGTTGAAGGACATTGGTTGCTTCAAAGTTCTAGCAATCACAGATAAAACTGTTAAACATTTGCTTGGACATTTTTCTGTGGACATAAATTTTCAATTCACTTGGGTAACCAAGAAAAACCATCTCGTGACCATGTTAGTTTTCTGGGATGGTTTTCCCATGTTCTTGCTTCTCAGTGCTGAAAGCACACACGGCAGAGGCACTTTTGTAAGTCCAAGTAAGAGGAAGTTCTGGGTAATACCATCGCAGATAGTACACACTGTGGAAAGTGTTCACCGCAGCACATGGCCACTTGAAGGGGGTGTGGGGGAGAGCATGAAAAAACATGTGGAAAATGCCTCAAAGAGGAGGCCACAGAACCAAAAAAGGAACAGCAAAACAAAGGATGAGAGTCCCTGCCCTACCTTTCTGCTTTCTTATCTCCTACACCCCCTTGGGGGGGTGGGGAGGGCTGGCAGGCACAGGCATGATTGAGGATATTGGCCATTCTTAGTGGCTGAGTTAAGGTGCATGTATGATGTATGCTTTCTAGTGTGCATACCCAGGTGGCTTTAATCTGCATGCCCATGGGTCTTTACTCTGAGCATGCCCAGCTTTGGATCTTCCCCACAGGTTTCTAATGTGTGGCTAACTTCTTTCAAACCCTTATTGTGGCATGGCCAGCTAATTTTCATTTAGCACAGGCATTTGGTGAAGACATTCCCTTTATCCCTAGTCTGTCTGCCTGTCAGTCATATGGTATTGCTATATTTAGCTTTGTAAGAAACCGCTGGACTCTTCCAAAGTGACTGTTTCTTTTGCATTCCCACCAGCAATATATGAAAATTCACGTTTATTCCACATCCTCTTTAACCATTCTGATGGTCACCAATGAACAAGGAAGACCGAAGAAGAATTGAGGCATGTGAATTATGGTGTTGGGGAAGAATATTGAAAATACAATGGGCTGCCAGAAGAACAAGCAACTATCTTGGAGGTAATACAGCCAGGGTGTTCCTTAGAAGCAAGGATGGTAAGACTTCATCTCACATGCTTTGGACATGTTATCAGGAGAGACCAATCCTTACAAAAGGGCAACATTCTTGGAAAATAGAAGGTCAGTGAAAAAGCGAAAGATACTCAACAAGTTGCAACAATGGGCTCAAACAGCCATGACTCAAGACAACACAAGAACCCATTCAAAGATGGTATTTCAGTGTTTTAATTTCCTAATGGCAGTGGCATATAACACCGTATTTTCTTATGCTAGATCTCTTTTTTTCCAGTTCCAGAATATTTTATTACTTCTTTTTTTTTTTTTCTTATGCTAGATTTCTGTTTCTTCTTTGGGAAATCACTGTTCAGATCTTTTCCCCATGTTTGTCCCTTCTTTTCAGGCTTAATTGTTCTCTATTTTGGATACTTCCAGTTACCATCAAGTTAGTCCCAACTCATGGCAATAAAACAATTAGCACAGCCTTACACTAAGGCATCCTCACAATTGTTAGGGTTGAGCCCATTGTTGGAGCTACTGTGTCAATCTGTCTCATTAAGGGTCATTCTCTTCTATCCTCAACCAAGCATGATATCCTTAGATCTTGACCCCTCCTGATAACATGGCCAAAGTACTGCATAAGTCATTCCATCTTCCCTTCTAGGGCGCATTCTAGCTGTACTTCCTCCAAAACAGATGTATTTGCTCTCTGATAGTCTGTGGTATATTTAGTGCTCACAAAACCATGATTCAAACAAATCAGTTATGTGATCTTCCTTATTTAATTTTTGCTTGCATTATTGCTCAAAATAACATCTTTTTAACCTCAAGAGATCTTCTTGCAGCAGTTTTGCCCAAGGCAATAATTTTTCCTTGGGCATTGACTCTGACTGCAAGTAAAAACCTTGACAACTTCAATCTTTTCTCCATTGATTTAATTGTCATCTGCATACCATCTCAGATTATACAAAATTGAATACACTTGGGGGAAAAACACAACCCCTGTGCAACCTTTTCTGATATTATACCAAATAGTACCCCTTTGTTCGGTTCAAATAACTGCCTGTTGGTCTAAATGTAAGAGTAAGTCAGAAAGTATTCCTACTAGCGTTTCTTTTCATACATGCATGAGTTTATTCCAAACAAAATACGTTGGAAAATACAGCTATCAAGCACCATCAGCTTTCTTCGCCACATTTGGTTATGCACCCATTTGTCTTCAGTGATCCATTCGACACCTCGTGATCACACAGGCTGATATGTTCTAACATGTGGGCTTTGTTGCTTCTGAGCTAGATGGCCACTTGTTTACCTTCAAGCTTTTAAGACCCCAGACACTATATCTTTTGACAGCCAGGCACCACCAGCTTTCTTCACCACACTTGCCCATTCACCCGCCCTGTCTTCAGCGGTTGTGTCGGGAAGGTAAGCATCATAGAATGCCAATTTAATAGAAGAAAGTATTCTTGCGTTGAGGGAGTACTTGAGTGGAGGCCCAATGTCCTTCTGCTACCTTAATACTAAACCTATAAATATAGGCTCATAGATCTATTTCCCCATCCTCATATAAATATATTTGCATATGTACATGTCTTTATCTAGACCTCTATAAATGCCCTTTGCCTCCCAGCTCTTTCCTCTATTTCCCTTGATTCTCCTCCTGTCCCACTATCATGCTCAGTCCCCACCAGGATTTCAGCACTTCCTCTTTGTTACATTACCCTTGATCATGCCCTACCAGGTCTCCCACACCCACCTCCCCACCAATTTGGATCGCTTGTTGTTCCCTTGTCCCTGGGTTTGTTAACACCTCTTCCCTTCCCTCCACCTCCCCCTCTCCCATGTACCCCTGGAAGTGTCAGTCCCGTTGTTTTCTCCTCCAGATTGTTCATCCAGCCTGTCCTATCCAGACAGACCTGCGGAGACAACAACATGCACAAAAACAAGAGAGTAAAACCAAGCAACAATGTACAACAAAATAGCAACAACATCAAGCCACTGACAAAGAACAAATTAAAACATACCAAGAACCTCAGCGGACTCATGGTGTACTTGTCCTTTTGTGCCTGACTTACTTCACTTAACATGATTTCTTCCAGCTCTTCCCATGCAGCGATGTGCTTCATACATTCATCACTGCTTTTTAGCGATGCGTAGTACTCCATTGTATGTATATACCACGGTTTTTTAATCCAATCGTAGTTGATGGGTATTTGGACAACTTCCCAAATCATTGAAACTTTAAGCTTACAGGATTACTCCCCCACACACAAGATTTTAGGTGGATCAAACATTTTAAGGAAGTCAGGAAGATCTCAAAGAGGCAAAAGGAAGACCATCACCTTCGACAAATGGGAAAGTGGATGTAGTGCAGAAACGAAGGAAAGAAGATATTAGTAACTCCATTGATACTAGCTCAGAATTTGAGGTCTCAATTGTTGGGCATTTTCCATTGTTAGCGTACTTCTTGACCGCAGCATGCTTTCAACTGGATGGCTGCCCAAACATTGAAGTTCAGAGAGCTGATCTTTCCCTCAGTCTTTACGCCAGATCTAAGCTAATAATGATTGTTCGGGGGTGTGGCTTTGTTGTAACAGGAACAAGTCTTGAATTTACCAAAAAGATCTGGAGAGCAAGGGATAGTCAAAACAGTGGCTTCCAAGGGGCATCATCTTCTGGACCAAATAAATCTAAGGGTTCCAAGTGAGCGAGGGCAGTGGACAGTGGTTGTGATAGAGAGTCTCCAAGGGCTTAGGAACAGCACAGGGGCTTATCAGGAAAAGTTGTAAGGAAATTAAAAGCTGCAGTGATGAGGAAAAGTTAGGAAAGTTGCACAATGAAATTTTTTTCCGTTATGACAACACACCTGCTCATTCTTCAAGGGTAGCATTGACTGTCCTATGATAATTTTGTTGAGAACCATTACCCTGTTAATAGCCCTAATCTTGCCCCTACAAGCTTCTATTTGTTCCCAAAACTCAAAATTTGAAAGGAACCCAATTTGAGTTTCTAAGGATATAAACACTGCCATCTTAACGTGCTGTAAGTCATGGAACGAAAAGTTCTTCCAAGGATTAAAGAGATGGAAACACCACCAGAGGTATATAAACCTAGATGGGGAAGGTATGTCAAGAAACAATAGC